GACAACCTCATCGTTATGAAGGCACACTCGTGGCACGCACCTTCTTGAAGCATTACTATATTCTGCTGCAACTGCTGTGAACACAAATGCGGTCGTGTCGACATGGTCAGAGGCGACCACGAAAGTACGCATCCAACATACATGCACCGACGCAAAGCAATGCGGGGGACAGAATAGTTGTCGATGTGATCACAGCAACGACATGGTTCTGAAGGCACGTGCACAGATTGAAAATGGAACTACTGTAAACTCTCACTTGAGTGAACTTCAAGGGGCCCATGAAAATGGTTCACTTAAGGGGAGATGCTACTCGAAGACATTTTTTTTTAATATTTACTATTTATGGAATTTTTTATGCTTACTTCAATTATATAATTAGTTTTCTTGCAAGTTGCATGCTTTTAGCTCTGCGACATTAGGTAGTGAAAACCTTAACCCTTTTGCCCCTCCTCTTTTTATCCCGAAACTTTTATAACTTTTTACCGTTCATAGTTCATAAAGTGAAGAATGCAAGTAACTATCTAGGAAGCACATACAAAATATGTAATAGACATAAAACAAAACAGACGTGAAAAAGTTCCCATTTCTCCTACCCTTGTAAAGATTTACATAGAATTAGAATCTTTAAATATAGAATAGAGATATGGAAATTAAAACTAGGTAATTGCATTTTTCATTCTTTGGAACAAATTTGTGCAAAATTTCATGCAGATCTGAGCAACAGAAGTACCTGAAAAAGGAGGGGTGCATTGAAAAAAAAAAGAGCAAAACCTGTGTTTTGAGAAAAACGAGTAATAAAGTTAAAACTGAATTTTTATTTATAAAATATGTCATTAAGTGCAATGAAATTTGCACATCAAAAAGGTCAATCTTTTTTGTGGTGGCCTCTGCCCTCTAAAATGCGCCAGCACCATGAGTTTGTCCCTCGCGGCTCTCTGGAGGTGACTTGTCACAGACATTTCGCTCACAGACAGGGCCATGAAACGCTTTCCAAACTTCTTGCGCGCCATCTGGCAGAGCCTTGTGCCGACTCCAAGCGAGGAAAAAGTTCGACAGTACTGCGAAATCTAAACTAAGTTCAGTGTCAAGGGACACAGCTGTGCTGACGCCGTTTTGCGGCTACGTTTGTGCCATATACCGTCGTACATAATGGCAATGTCGACCTCGCAAGATTGGCACTGACGTCATCCATTGCCGCATCACGAACTTTCCGGCTGATGGCTGTGAATGACTTTTGATGCATTGGCTTTTGCAAGCCAACAACTGCCCCAAATCGCACTAGCTGCTCGTAGCCTGTTTCCTACAGAGGGCGCTGCCACGACGGCTCTCACGCGCTAGCAATGGTTTTTTTTTTTTTTTTTTCATAACGGAGATACATGCACGATAACAGTATTGTTCAGCTGCGCTGCTCTACAAGACATGGACCCCGCAAGTAGGCTTCACAGCACATACAGGCGTGCAATGGCCAATGGCGGTCCCCGATTCGTACCACATAATCGCAGCGCTCAAAAACACGCAAAAGCGTGCTTCTTTTTGTTATTTCTTGCACTGTATCAGCACGGGAAACTCGATATTTGAGGTGTGAGGCTGGACTCTTCGCCTCATGCGATCGACAATGATGTGCGGCGGCATATCGGAGTCAAGGTGCTCGAAGACTGCACACTTTGGGCCTTCTAACAGACACCTTGTGCTCCTTAGAAGCAATTTTAAAGCATTTCCAGTTAAGTCTCGACATTTTTTTTTTTGAACAGTAGAGGTACTAATCTTATCAAAACAGGTGAAATAAAGAAATCTATAATTTTGAAGAAAACTCGTTTTTCGACCTGCATCTCCCCTTAACTCAAAGTTCACTAAACTGAATATTCATTAGAATATGAAACTGCATTGGACACAGCCGCTATCAGGTCAAAAGTGTTAATATTATTTTAAAAATATTTCTGTAATTTTTATTCGGACTGACACCTTTTGAGAGCAAAAAACGACAAAATGCCCAGAGTGTCTACGTTTGTTTGCACTACCTCTTGCACATGTTGTCCCTATATCACGAAGTCCCTAAACTTTCTGATATATCCTACAGCCTTAGCTAGAAATACAGGATTTTATAGTGCCTTAGCCATTACAACTTGTTAGTTGCACTTTTCTTTTTTTAATTCCAGGCGAACGCTGGAAACAATTTCTAAATCTGATAGTTCTGCACTGGTACCCAAGTGCAGTTGGCTCGATTTAGATGCCAAGCAGCTCTTCGACTAGCCTGTGTAACGCTGTCCATCCATGTCTTCGTGCCAACCCGTCACAGTGCGTTACCCCCCACCGCACTTGTTGGAATAATGCCAAGTAGGTCAAGTCGCAGCTGCCGGCTCCTTCCAACATACTTAGGTGGTGTTTCTTCTCGGCTCGCTCGCAACACACTTCTCTCTCTCTCTCTTCACCCTCTTGACCACCCGCATTACTCGATCGGACCGCATGTTGAGTAGAAACACTGTTTGGGCTTGTTTATCTGCGATGAAAATTACACGAAACCTAACCCACCACCCATGTCTTTGCGTTTCAAGAAAACGTTTACTCGAGTGAAGGCTACACTGTTTCGCTTCAAACCGTTCTTCCAGCACCCGCATCAATGCCCGTATCAGTCGGATTAACAGCGTGCGCATCGCTGCTGGTTCGCATCCCATCATGGTTCCCTCCGGGGAGATGGTTCATATTGCTTTGTCAGTCTCACAGCCACTTTGCCTCGGCGGCACCGTATGCACAAGCGATGTTGTACCGCCGCTGATGGATTGGCGATTTTGGTGGCAGCACCTATTGGCTACGGCAGTGCTTAAGAGCAAAAAACTTCACTGAATTGATCTAAAAAATAAGCCTAAGTCCACAAAGCACGTTTGTTCAGCTGATATATTCACTATACAGAAGTTCATTTAAATGAAATATTTTTACATAGAATGCATAGAATAACTGGCAGGGATTATCTAAAAGTTCGTCATTCTGAAATATTCATAAAGCAGATGGTTGTACAATTGAGAGTTCACTGTATACGTAACAACCCGCATATAGGTCGGACCCGCATATAGGTCGGACCGAAGTGCATTTCGGGCATAGCAAATGCGCAAAAAAAGTTTTCACTTGAATATAGGCCCAGAGAAAACAGAAAAATACATTTATTTACACTCAATTACTTATCGTCATCTGGCAAGCGCTCATCCGAAGCTCCCTCACCGTACATGCCCTCCCACAGCGCCTCGTCGTCAGTGCCATTGATGGTGTTTGAGATAGAGCACTTTTTGAAGGAACGACAAACAAGCTCTTTGAGATTGCAGTCTCAAGCCTCAGCGATCCATGAGCGCAGCATCGCTGGTGAGGCCTGTTTCAGTCGTCTGCCTGGAGTCACTTTCGGCTCTCCGGACTTCATCCACACTATTACAAGCACTTGATGTGGTCCTTAAATGGCTTAGTGAGGCACGCATCTAGCGGCTGCAGCTGGGGACCATCTGCTTCTGAAAGCTCACAAACAGCCCTTTGTAGTTTTTTGGCACCTTCTGTGATATGGACGTACGCCGACATAGAGAGAGTTCAGCGCGGCGCATGAAGCGTGACACCCTATGCTTGCTCGCCTTGAAGACCACCTGCTCAATGCCTTGATCTCACGTGATTTCCCTTGCCTTTGCTTGCAGCAGCTTGGTGTTGACAGCAAACTCTGTAGCCCGTTGGTCTCAAACAAAGTTCGCCAGTTCTTGTTTGTTCAACGTCAGGAAAAGCTAGATGTTCCAGCCCTTGAAAACTTTTTTCCTGGCCGCTGCATACAAAAAGGGCTTTTTTCTGTTTCCTCCAGCCGCGAATGCACCACTTGTCCACACTGAACTGTCACCCTGCAGCACAGTTACCGATGTTTTAAGCAGATAAAATAACCTTTCTTTTAAAGGCAGCCGAATACTACCTTCGCGGAGCTGGCATGGCGTAAAGTCATAGACGTAAAGTCGTGATGGTTGTTACGTGCGTCAGCTGGTTGCTATGACCACTGTTGCATGCTCGTAGGACTAACGCCACTAATGCTTCAACACTATCTACCGCAGAAGCATGCTGACACCTAATGATCATGATAGCACCGCATATTGCCAAAACGAAAACTACGAATTCAGGCCGAAAGTTCTTGGGATCCGCATATAGTTCGGGGCAGAAATTTTACGTAGTAAAGTTTTGAAAAAAATGCCGGGCAATACATGGGTTTTTACGGTACTGTTTGCTGCAACCTCTGAAGAGGAAACCATGCTCGCTATCATTGCAATCATCGATAGGGGACGGAAGTGCTCAGCCCACACATGTGGAGATTGAAAGCACTAAAGTCCTAAAACTGCACACAGTGTTTCGGCTTTCCTGTCGCTCGCTTATCACTATAGTCTTGCAAAGCTTTGGCCTTTAGTTTTCAGTTGGCCTTTAGCGAACCTTGGCATGCTCGTTCGTGGTGCTGTACTCTATGCAGGCTTTGAGAGTAGCTTGAATATTATATTTGCTCCGGTATTACCCCCCCCTATATGCGGCGTCCTCACCACAAACTGCGGGAGATTCAAGAAATATACTCGCCTTGCATTACCATGAAGCCACCAAAATTCTCATATAACCCACACCCCGACTTTATCTCCAAATTTTGCGTATTATATATGAGAAACTACATTCACTCCACGTGAGGCCAAGTATGTCCGAGTTAGTGAGAGTTCAATACAAAAGATAATGCATGCACTTGCCAGGACCAAAGGACTAGTGTTAACATGAGATCTTCCTAACTTTTGTGGTCTGTACATGCAATTTCGCTGCAACTAAATTTTGCTGCAACATACTTTTTCGCGCGTCCCATCAGTTCCGTTTTAGCGGGATTTGACTGTATATGTAATGCAAAAGATTCGTTCAACTTTTGTTTTTAATGCACCTGTAGGTGTATGTTTTATTTTCCCAACTGCTAGTGATCGTGTTTCACTGATCAGCTTTTCTGCTTTAATTATTTGACACAGAGTCGGTCAAAGATGGAAGATCCTGAACAGCTCAAGCTGAAACAGAAGGCGAAAGAGGTACGTTCTGACACTGGTTCGCTACTGATTTTCGTGGTATCTGTTTTTCTTTTCCTGCCCCCTCTCCTTCCCTTCCTGTCATGGAAAGTTTTGTAAGCTCAAAGCTTCCTGTACTTTTATTGTTTATGTTGAAAATACCACATCACTTTCTTTTTCATAAGAAGTTCTCATTGTAGGTGTGACATTGTTCATGTGATTCCCTGCTATAAAGAATAAGTGTGGTAGTAATTGCAGGCCAAAATGAAGGAATCTGGCAAGAAGTTGGCTCATGCTTTTTTTTATCACAGTGGTGCTCATGTGAAGTACGTACTGTTGATTGGGCAAGTTGCATGATAATGTTGTATTGCTATAGCGCAGCTGAGCTTAAGTATGAAGACAAGAGGCAAAAGCAAAGAATGGAATGACAGGCAATAGGATGAGTATTAGTTTAGTCCTGTTGCCTGTAATTTCCTTCTTTGTGAAAAGATCATTTGTCAGTGGCTAGTTGTCTTTTTGTCTACTTTCTTCACAAATGTATATCAATTTTACTATGATACACCTAAACAGTACAATTAGCATTCCCTAATCTTTTGTTGACTTCATTATCTACTAGTTTTCATTGAGATTATGCCGTTGAGTTGTGCCGTTGAGTTGAGTTCGCGTGGTAAGCAGGTGTCTTACCACAAAGCCACGATGTTACTCGCAGCTGCTTCGGGAAAAAACACTACATAAATGCCATGTTGTGGAAGGAGTCTCCTTAACGCATTTTGTTTGACAGGTGTCACGACGCAAACCAGCCCATTCGGTGATTTGTAGGCGCATTTGGGAGGCCATCAAACTATATCGAAAAAGGCCAGGATAGTACAGCCATCGCCGCTAAAAACACACAGAAACTTTCAAACAGCTCTAAAAATGGACAACTATGTCAATCTAGTGAAAACATATCATGCCTTTCCGGAGGCATTCATCAAGCAAACAGCAAACGCTAGATAATATGCTGCCATTTGTGAGGCATTGTGTGACTCTTTATGGCCTCCGAGATGGCAAGCGTGCGGCGTGTATCTTGGAGGCCATGCAACTCTTGGTTTAGATCAAAAACCTGTATGTACAATTTGCGCATGTGTGTGTGTGCGTGTCTGTGTACCATTTGTGAGACATTAGTAAAAATGTGTGTCAACTACAGTAGAGCGCCGTTCTAGCTGAGGGAAGTGGCCACACTGCACAGTTTCTGCATTACTATAGATACGTCGCACTTGCATGCTCGCATGTTTGTGTGTGTGTGTGTGTGTGTGTGTGTGCATCAGTGTGTGTGTGTGTCTGTGTAACAAAACATATTAATAAGTATGCACTTAGCGGTTGAAGTGCACTAGGGGCCGGATTTCGCTATCACGTTAGCTCTTTAAGGCAAAGCTTAAAGGTCCCCCCCACCCCCCTTTTTTTTTTCACTTTTGTGTTCAGTAAATGGGTTTGACTATTACAAACAGAAACACAGATCACGGAATTGCACAGCATATATTGCAATGTAGAGAAAGAGAAAACAGAAGGCTTTGAACTATGGTAACTTATCACAATGCGATCAACATATCTCTGTAAATTTATTCTGTTCGTTTTTTCTTTGTGTCTGTTGATCACCTTGGATTAAAGAATAGTTATATTCAAGGAGAGCTAGCCCAGCAGTCAGTACAAAGGGAAAAGGGAGAGATTGATGAGATATTTGGGTTCATTGAGGTTTATTTGTGTGTGAGATATCCCATAATGCAGACACTACAAGCTCATTGCTGTAAAGTTTTTATTATAATCAAGTGGCAGTTGAACTGACAGTAATGCATAATCCAGATTATACTGCATCACCATTTGTGCAGAAAGTGCATGCTGATATCGTATCCATATTTGGAAAGTAAGTTGTTGGGTTAGGAAAGTGCTAAACACTGCACATGGTGATGCTATTAAAGGGACCCTGAAACGTTTTTTTTTTTTTAAGTTTTGTCAGTGTTTAGGTTGGAGCATCATCAAACCATTTGCGTCACAAATTTTGGAGGCCATCACACAGTGGCCCCTGCAGCACGCATGCTGTCTGGCTATAGAGACAAAGATCATCGAGGGGTGCATATCTGCCCCAACAGGTGCCGCCACCCTATCAGCCAAACCTACTTCCATGCATTCTACAGCCTGTGACAGCCAATCAGATTAGCAGCCACGGTGACGTCAAATGGCCAGAGCATGTCGCCATGAGAACGGGCCGTTGAAAACGCGTTTGGCCGAGTTTCAGGGATCTGAACCAATCTGCAGCGATTCACAGCTTTAAATGTGTTATAATGAATTACACTTTACTCAGAGAGCTCAAATCCTAAGTGACCCTTAGAGTGTAGTCTACTGGCCTAATGTGTTTGTACAAAATCACCAAAACTGTTTCAGGGTCCTTTTAAAGAGTAGCTCTGCAGCGAGGTTCCTAAGTGCACACTACATGCATTTTTTTTTTCGTAAAATGTCACTGTCTGCTATATCTTTTCATGAATAATAAGTCTTCAAGCTTGGCAACAGAACATATTTCAGAAGCAACAGCTTGGGCTCAACATATTTAAACATCCATCGATAAGGCTAACATAGTGTCGTATTACACCTCTGCAGCTATCAAGAAACCACAGATGCAAAATTATGTTTTATTGTATGTCACCTTCATTCACTTGGAATGACTCAATCTACATGGCACCAAGCATTCTAAGTGTTATTGTGTACGGATTTTGTAAGATGTATCATGGTAGGCAATCCATAGTAATATCTCTATCTCTTATTTATTTATTTATTTATTTATCATGGTGTCCACAGTGACCAAGGGCATTATAGGAGGGGGGGGGGGGGGGGGGGGGAGAATACAACATATCAATACAGAATACAGGTAACATGACAATGAAAACGTAATTCACTGTCCACTTATGTAGTGACACATAGAGTACACAATATAAATTAGGTTAGTAATACCATTTCTTACTTACGAAGCCACACGAGTGTACTACTGCACACATCTTGCAGTGAACTTGAAAATATATCATGTGAAGAAATTTCTGCTACTTTGGAAGGCAATCTAATCCTCTGGCTTATCGTCCTGAAAAAAAAAAAAAAAAGACATTTCAGATGCATCACTTCGGCAGCTTATTTCCTTTATCTTATTGTCATGGTCTAGTTTGTACTGAAGTGGCACAAAGAACCCTATGTATAGAAAGCCTACATAATTTCAAAGAAGGTTAGAGAACTAGGTGCAGAAATTTAGGTAACTATGTGCACAGTGTTAGTTCACTCAGGCATTGCTGATGCCATGCACATCTTTTCATAGCAGCTGTCATCTGCCGTCTGCCTAATCATATTCTGCTGAAAGCTCTTGTAGTCTGTGAGCAGTCCAGTGCAGCTGTCTTGAAGCTGCAAAAGCAAAACTGCTGCGCATTAACCCTTTGTGGTACTATGAACATTCAAGCATGCTCCAAGCAAAGGCAAGAGAGCTCATGGCATGCTCTCTTGTGAATTTCAGAAACTACACCTCAAGATATGGTTCATACTGTGCCACTTCTTTTTTTTTTTTACTCAAATTCTTTTCTTGTAGTTCTTTATGAAAAAACTTCATTTTATTGCACCTTAATATGAAACAAATTTGTTCATGGTTTCAGATGCAAAAGGCAGAAATGGAGGAGATGCGACAAAGAGAAGCAAACATGACTGCCCTTCTGGCCATTGGTCCACGGAAGAAGCTGAAGACAGAAAACAGTGGGAATGCAGGGGTGAGCTAATGTTTAGGACTTCTCTGAGTCTGCATGTCTTCTTTTTTTATGACACTCAATAGTAACACTGTAGATATTTTTATTGATGTAAGCATTGGCGTAACCATTGTTTTGTCCCCCTTATTATCCAGGGTGGTCTTGGCAGTGGCTCTGGCCTCAACAACTCATTCTCAAAACTTCCAGTAAGTAAGGCTCCTACTTCGTAATATTTTTGTGCTACTTCTGAGAGCAAATTTTTAAATGTGCACCTGTGCTTTCCAACCAGAAATAGTGTTCAAGCTGTTGTTTTAACTAGGTATGAATATAATCAATGAGAGGGGGCTGGGTATAACTTTGTACGGTGGCTAAGCCAGAATTATGACGATGGCTAGTAGCCGCAGCAAAATAGTATATGTGTGTTATTAATACAGTTTGGCAGACTTTCCCACTTTGACTCCAGTTATTTGAGGGAAAGAAAGTTGATGCTCGTCAAAGTTCTCTGTTGGCATTGATGCATTTCTATGGCATGTTACTTTTATAATTATCTCTCTCTGTTAATTGGTCCTTGTTGGGTGGTTTAAACGGAACTGGTAGGCATCCTCGTAGCTCAGTGGCTACAGTTTCTTGTCTGGGATGGTAAATGTGTTGAAGGAGTGTGCAAGCTCCTACAGAAGATTCTTGACATGTTTCTAGCAGGCTTTCCAGGGAAAAGAGCAGCTCGCTATGAATAAACACTATATGCATTCCCCAATTTTAATTCTGAATGTTACGTTTTCTATGAAAAAAAATAGGCCAGAAATAGTCTGCACATTGCAACCTTATATGCAACGAACTGCATTCATAGCATTGACAACACCCTACTGTCAAAGCCTGCATCACCGTCATCATCATTGTAGGGTGGGGCTCAGTGCAAGCCTTTGCATAAATTCATAACCACTTTCATTGTGAAGATTTATTCATAAAAAAAGTTATTTTATGTGCTAAGCTATTGGCAACATAGATGTATCTCATGTTTTTGACATGTCATGTTGGGCTACTAGCTGGACAAATTACTTATGGAGAGGTGATTAGTTTAGGTGTGGGCCACCTTTCTGTTAATGGTGGTTGTGGAGTTATTAAAGAAATGCAGAATACCACATGGTATTCGTAAGTAATTTGAGCCAATACCCCATTTAGCAGAGAGAGCTCAAAACAGAAAATTAAAGTTTATGTAGTAGACAACATTCACTTTTGCACATGCAGTAGTGGTTATGGTGAATACACTCAAACCTCATTATAACAAAGTTGCACATTACGTGAAAATAAGTTTGTTACATTTGAAAATTTGTTATAGGTATTTATTGCTGACACTGTCTTTATTGCCAGACTATATTTCATTTACTTTGTTATAACTGATACTTTATTATATCTGGATTTGTTGTGTCGAGGTTTGAGTGTAGATTCATCGCCTGGTGAATGTAAAAGAGTGTTGGCACCCCTAGTGAGAAGCCCGAAGCTTCCTTAAGGCTTTGTACTACGGGTGTGAAGCCTAACGTAAGTGAAGAGCTTGGCAGCCTTTTTTTTTCCCCTCTTTGGTTTTCTTTTTCTTTCCTTTTCTCCTTTTTTTCCTGTGTTATTCCTCTCCTTAGTTCTATTTATTTCTTCTTCTCTTTATTTCTTTTTCGTGCTCTATTTTTTTTCCTATTTTTTTCCTTTATCTCTGTTTCTATTTCACACTTGCTTTGTCTTCTTTTTTATAAGTCTATGGAGGGGTTTTGCCTGCATTATGCCAAGCACACTAGTTGTGTCTTTTTTTTTTTTGCTGATGATGATAAGTGATCATCATCAAGCTGCTCGACGAAGAAGAGTAAGAAGACGTCTCCTTGTTGCGAGCACGCACTCAATATGCTACTATAGAGCATTACGACAGCATACTACTGCACACAACAGCGTATGACGGCCTGGTTCCCTGAAGCGCCCTGCACTTGAAACAGGGGTGGAAGTGCTGTGCCATTTGCACCATTCTGGGCCAATCTGACCTGCTGTGCCAAGCGGTGCCTAAACGGTAATTTGTGTGTGCAACGTCATATTTCGTCGAGTTTTATCGTCAACCGAGCAACGCGCATGGGCTACACCAACGGCGCCACCGCATCCATATCAAATTAGTTTGGTGACGTCGTATTTCGGCTCATGCATGAATTTTGTTAAGGTGTTGTTTCTGTCCATACTTCATTATGCGACTCAATAGATGTTTTGACAGCAAAGCTGTTAGCCAAACCATATAAACTGAAAAAATTAAGTCAGTTTTATTGGTGAAGTGATGACGGCAATAGCGAAAATTTGTAATGGTAATGGTAATGCAGTGCGCGCTGTCTATTTTTGCTACCGCATCATTACGCGTGTAACACTGCCTTGTGCAATCCGCTCTAGTTTACAGCTATCAGTCTGCAGCTTGTATTGCATGTAGAGTGACGTTTTGTTTTCCGGGCACAGGGTTCGCCCAAATAAGGTTCACTCGTGACAACAGCGGCTGCTGCCTTTGTCAAGCTCACGACCCCATGAGAATAGGAAGGTAGAAAGCTAATGCTTTTGAATCCGACATCGCGACACTCTGTAAAACGCTGGTATAAAAAAGGACCTATGGTCGCTCCAGAGAGAAATGCTCTTATCACACAATCTTTCATCAGTAGAAAGCGCACCACTTAGAATGGTTTACAAGCTGCCCATTGATGCTTGCTGATAGCGCAGGTGCCAGTTTATCACAACCACGCCCTTGGAATCAAAGTTCAGCGCTGCTGCTGCTGCAGGAACTGGTCCCCCACCACCCTTTCCTCCACGTATTTTTTCATGCTCATTCAAGTCGGGTGGCGTGTTTGCTCTCTGCTTGAGCATTCGAGGGCAGGTCTAACAGTGGTGGGTGAGATAGTATCCTGTGCGCTGTCCCTTCCAAGCAACAGAGATGAAGGCATTCTGTAGCGGTCTTCTAGTGGTTTGCTGTGCACGTGGTGGGCATGATGTGATAAAATTTGTTCACAAGTATCCATTTTCTGAGAAAGAGCTGAAAAAAATGGCATAATCGAACTCTGCATTAGCAAAGTTACTCCAATGATCCTTGTTTGTTTTCGACATTTCAGGAACAAGTAATACGTCATTGTGCTAAAATTTGCTGCAATAGACCTCTCCCTGTTCACAAACAGTGTGATGTCACCTTGAGCACCTCGCAATGATTTACTTTCAGTGTGATCGCGTGGGTATGTCATGGCATGCTGCAACGGCCGCAAGAACTATGCAGCTCGCTGTGAATTTGGGTTTATGGTACCATTTATTGAGAGAAGGGAGAATGATTTCTAGCTGTCTTTGAGAATTGCGAATTTCAGGCCACGTGCTGGGCTATAATATGACAAAAGCTCATGTTTTCTACTGTGCTCACTTTGAATGATATTGTGGCTGTGTGTTTCCTCCCCTGTTCAGGACCTTGTCACACAGATTCTGTCAAGTATGATGGTTCTTACCAGACTGTGTCAGAAGTCCCTGGTAAACTACAGCAGTTATTAAGTGCCCCAGCCATCAATTAGCGGGCACTTGACACTATACATGTTCTATTACGCGAAATAGTTATTTCTTTGCTTTCCACTAAAGACTATTTGCTTGTTGCTGAGTTTAGCCGAGATGCTGACCTTCTTTATCAATTGTGCTTTCTATTAATCTTTGAGCTACATCTGGCATCCATGCTGACATAATCTGTGCAAATGGGCTCCAAGTCTGCTATGACCTTTTGCCATTTTCAATGTTGTTTCTTTTTTATTTCAGATGCGGCCAAGAGTGAAACGAGTCAACTTGAAGGACATATTGTTTCTTTTGGAGCAAGAGCGCGAGAGCATACACAGTACACTGCTGTACAAGTCCTATCTCAAATAGAAAGGGGCACACATGCAATTGCACCTTGGACACAGGAGTGGCTTCTGATATGCCCAAAGCCACTAGCTCTCAGTAGACAGTGTGTGCACTTCTTGAAGTTTCATCCACTGCCCACCCTGATATGTTGGCTTGTGCCAGCCCAGTACTTCCTATATGTTTTCCAGTGCCCGGGCGAACGCTCTTTTTAGGCCGTGTAGCGCGCTCTTTGCCTCCGCTCGCCGCTGCCGCACAGCGGTGCTGCGCAAGTAGACTACCGGAAGTTGGCGTCGAACGGCCATGCATATTAAGAAGCTCGCGAATTCGTGTTTTTATGCAAGTTTATTTGAATTCGCGCTGCTTTCTAGCTTTTACAGGTTGAGGGCTGATGAAAAGTAACACAAACATAGCAGCGTGCTGCTTTCACCAGGCACTGACCATGGCGACGGCGTGCCCAGCGCACTTGTGGCTACTCCCAGGCTAGGGCACGAGGCGGGTAGGCGGGTGCGTGGCCCGCGAGCCACCGAGGGCAAAAAAAAAAACCGCAAATGTGCTGACCCCCTTCCTCCAAAACAACAAGAACAAAAAAAAGAGCATTGACAGCACCACGGTTTTAGCTAGCGTCACGTGTGTGGGGCTATGCTGCATATGGAGGGGGCTTTACCGAACAGTTTTGTGGTGTATCCGTGTCGTACGCTTTTTTTCGATGCCGTGCATGTGTGCATGGTTTCACTCACGGTGTGGCCCTCGGCGACATTCAGCTTTCTTTTTGTGTTTTTTTTTTAATGCAGACATTTGTGTCCTCACCACTGAGGAGGGTGAACCACCGCCGTTGTGCCATTCGGCCTCTACCCTGCAGTGGTGGCGCAATGCCACACTACACCCACGCCCGCTTCCTTTTAAAATCCGCTCCTTCGCCTGGGCACTGAGAAAATGTAGAAGCTGTTGGCCAGCCTCAAATTCTACCCGCTTAGCAGTACAGTTTGTTGATTTCTACCCCCGTAATTTAAAACAAGCCTCAACTTGAAGTCCGTCCTTTGCTCAACTTGGTTGACCACAGTGCCGCCGCTTAACTGAGTATGACACGATGCTTGCCCAAGAATAGCTGCCTGTTATCATTCATATGGGGTGACCCGTTCTGCCAAGGGGCGACGCTGCTATCAACTTTCTCGAGTCGAAGTGGTCGACCGAGTGGAGGGAGGTTCTAAAATATGGGGGTAGATTGCTTTTTTGTTTTGTTGTTTTAAGGTCTATATTTTGTGCAAAAAGGAAAGTGGGAGAAGCACAGTAACAACCCGCATTTAGAAAAAAGTGATAAGTTTTGTAATGTGGATTTGTATAATAGATTTGTTTGTCACTCACAGATGCAGAGAAAGGGAATAGAATTTTTTTTTTCGTTATATGTATTTTGAATAGTATAATTGTATACACATGTTGTTTGTTTTTTATCTTCCAAACCTTTAAAGATAACTTTTTGATGAAACTTGTTTTTGAAAGTTTCATGTTCTTCCATTTTCTGTTTAGATAATTGGCAGATTTTTGAATCAATAAATAGCTGTTTGCTTTGGGCTGTCAAGGTTTTTTGCTACAAGTATTCTTTTTTTAACCCACAAGGATGTCGCAAGCTCAACAAAATTTCAGTCTAGTGAATGCTTGTTCAGTTAATGGAAAAGTGCTCTCCATCTACTTATACATATTGTTACACATTTTCTTTGTCCTGTTCCGTATGTTGTATATATGTTTATATACAGATATCTTTTTTGTTTATATACAATATCTTTCTATGTACAAGCTTTCTTGATCTTTTTTCTTTGGCTATGTATAGGTCATGCTTTGTTCAACACAGGAGTATTTGTGCTGTCGTAACTTCTGTGATACATGTAAATTTCTCATGCAAGAGCAATGAAAGAAGTGAGGCTTTGCGAAGTTGTTGAGCGTTGGAAACATTTTTAACCTGATGCAATGTCAACTTCACGTAGGCAGAGTAGTATATGGAATTGTTCGTACCTCTCTCTTTTTTTTTATGCTCTCTTCGTCACCTTTTTCACAGCCACTTACTTTTTGTTCGGTGCTGTTCAAAAGTTCTTGCATTGTCGCAGCTTCTGTTGTAGGTCGTGCATGTACTACTTGCAAGTGAACTGCAGTGCTTGTAAATATCATTCTTAGTGTTTGTGAAAACATAATGTGCACTGTAATGTAAGTATGCCACATGCATGAAACATTTTGTTTCAGTTCACAAACACATCATGTTAACCTTTGATACCAGATAGTTAGCTTATATTTCATAGTTGCTTGTAAATTACAAAGAAATAACCATATGTATGCACATGTTTCAAGAGATATTTAATAAGATTTTATTGTTGAAGGGACACAGTCCTTGAATGAATTTGTAATTACTGTGTGTTTTTGAACTGTAATGTAACTGCAATCGGACTTTTTTTATGCTAAAGTCGTTCCTGCATAAAGAATGAGCATGGTACACTGTGTCATCACTTCCTTCTTCTTCTTTTTTTTTTTTTTAGTCTATCCTGGTGTGACATTCATCACTTCAGTTGAACGCCACTTTAAATAATAGATTTCTTGCTTGTTTGGGAGGTCATGTTTCCACAGTGTTTGCAGCATTTTGTGTAGTAAGTTTTTAATTTTGATGTGCAGGTTAATTTGAATATACTGCAGTAGTAAATAAATATATGAGTCACCCTTAAAAACAAAAATTAGGCTAGACATTGAAATGCTGGAAAAAAGAGGAGGGAATGTTACACTACACTTGAACTAAAAGCACAAAAGGGAAGATGGAAACCTGCAATGAAAAATTCGAAAGCAGGGTGTGGATGCTGGAGTCAAAGTTTCGACAAGTGGACTTGTCTTTTCAAGAGCACTATTGATTTTCTCAGAACTTATGTGTGTATTTTTTGTACCCTCTCATTCAATCTAAACAAAGCAGAAGGAGAGCATATCCGCATAAGTCGGGATGGGGAGGGGGCAAAATGGGAGGCCGCCGTGGGGAATGGGATTAGAAAAAAGGTATTTCATGAAAAAAAAAAAGTATTGAGGTCAGGGGGCTGGGTGTGCACACGTGTCACTTGAGTAATGCTTGATGGAAGAAAACACCAGTGAACAATGTTAAGTTAGAAATTTCTAGAAAAACTGAAAACTTATCAGTTTCCGTTGCGTGCTTCGATCATGTAGACAACATGCTAAACTGTTGTCTATATGATCAAATATTCATATTGTCACTGCCAGTACATTGACAAAACAGGGCAGCCTGTTAATGTTAGGTTAAACAGGCTCTGCGTGGACATGGCAAAGAAGTTACCGAAAGCAGTGGCTCAGCATTTTAATCCAGCAGGTCACAATTTTGACGACCTCAAACTTTACATCTGCAAGTCAAACTTCTGGTCCGAAGAGAGAGAAAATATACAGAGCACATATACAGGCCTTAGTCACAAGTTTAGTACACTTCAGCCAGAAGGTATAAATGTTTCTAAAGGTGCTCTTGAGTTCATTTGATATGGTACATACACAATGGAAACCAATGTTTTGAATCTTCTAGATTTTGAACTTAACATTGTTAAAGGAAGCTGAAGGGATTTTAGAATTCAATCAAACTTCGTGTTTAGGAAGGACCGGCATTATTGTTGATGATTTCATAATTGATTTTGTGGCCGTAACTGCAGGAGCTTTAGAACAAGCAAAATGAAAACTTGTCTTGCTCCGCCCCCGCGAGCGCGCTGAAAGTGTGGGCGTGGAAACATACATCATCTTCGTTTCCTCTGCCCCAGAGAAAGTGTTCTTTCTTATCTTCTACCACGGCCTCTGGGACTAACCCATGACGTGCTGTTACCGGTACTTATCGAAGAGGCCACACTTCAGCAGTGCTGCTTTTGCAGATGACGTGGCATGCCGAGAATGACGTCGCCGTGTTCTCTCGGCATCTCTCGGCCGTGTTCTCTCGACGTGTTCTCTTGTCAAAACGGCTGCTTCACCACCCATCTGTTTATGAATTTCTCACTTCATATTTGAAGCAACTTACAAAAACTGGCTTTGATGTGTTGCAGTATATCTTGGTATCTATCTTTGCTTCCTGTTTCATAGTTTATGCACTCATAAATCGTCTCTCCACACTGGCCACCAAGTACTTTCAATCAACAATTGGTTTATGCATATTTAAGGTAGGAAAGAGGGGCACTGCCTGTATAATAATCTTGACTACTCAGTTACTGAGATATTAAATGGTGGGCTAATGTAACTGTTTATTTGTTTTTATAGTGCACGCCTCGTTGAGCAGCATTTGATCGTTTACTTCGAGCAATCTTTAGTTGTGAATGTTCACAATTCTATTGTTACCTGTTCATAGGCTACTGTTTATCCTGTCACTTATTCTCCTCGCTCGCATTACTTACACCCCTGTGAGATTGTTATGAATGGCTGTGGGGTTTGTAACAGTTGTTATGATGTGATATTGGTCTCGTGACTAAAATGAGCATTAGGAATGCCAAATGGTTAGGACATCATTTCAGCTTTGCAATTATGTGAGCGTGGCAGAAGAGCTAAAAAGGTCAATATTTTAGTAATTGATAACTTTTGCAAAAGTTTGTTGTAGACTGAAACATGTTTTGCTTAGGGATACTATTGTCTAATGCAGTTAAAAGCACGCGTGACAAACTTTTCTATTCGGTTGGTAATGTATCACCAATAAACTGCAGCACCTAGTGAAGACAAAAAAAAAAAATAGCAAGCACTATTATAAACGGCCATCGGAGAAGGGTGCTTATGTTCCTGCACTTTATATGTTATTTAGTGTATACATAACTCAGCAAAAGTAAATGTGCCTTCCATTTTGCTGACATATTGTAAACTGTGAATAGCAGAGAAAGAAAAAAAGACTGAAAAGTGCCATTTCTGTTTTCGTCTGTCAAGTCCTGCTTACATTGCAAGTGTTCTTTTCTTTACACTTGTGGATATCAACGAATGTCGTGCAGGGCAAAATAAGGTTAAGAAATTATGTTGCATGCAAAGCCTCCGAAACGTTTGTGTATAAATGTTTGAAATAGTATTTAGTTTTTACAGGCATTTTTTTGGGCTTGTAAATGTAGCTACATGAAACTGCCGCAGATTTTCGTTTTTGAACATTGAACGTTTCGTCGCTGACTTATCGCCTCAGTATTCCTTGCTGGAAAATTATCATGCCAAAAGCACCTACTGGGACTTGAAAAGGCACTGCAACACATTTTGAACATGATTAGAAAGTGCTGGTGATCTGTAGTTGAGGCTCCTGCGAGCATGTGAGCCGAACCTTACAGGGCAATTCTCAGATGTGTTTTTTTTTTCTGTAGATATGCGCTCCAATATTAGAGCACCTATTATTAATACTAGAGCCTCTGCAAGAGATCCAGTCCGAAGCTTGCAAACTGTAAAGTATGGTAGCGTTGCTGAGGGAGATAAAAAAAAAACTTTTATTGGGCTGGGCGGATCGAGGCTCGCATTTGCCCTACCGCTGAAGGCTGATCAGTGCTTATCGCCGGGCTTTGTACAGCAAAGGTGTTTGTCGTGTCTTCACCATATTCTCTGTGGAAACGTAACTGTTGCAACGTGACGTGAGAAGTCCCTTCGGATCACATGCGCATACAAATGCGCCTGTGACAGGCTTGTCTTCGGGGGCCTCACTTCTATACGCTCAACACCGTTTAACAATCCAACGTCGCCGAGTAAGTAATATTTCGCCCGTACCCTATAGCGCAAGAGCACGGAGGAACTGAATGCAGTGAGACTTGCATCTCGTGATTGCATCACATGCGCGATGAATATGCCATTCAATAAGCTCTGTTAATCAGTCCCTGTCACAGAGTATGAAAAAAGAAACCGTCAACTGAATTGTGTCTAAGTTAACTATTAAAAGTTCAAAGAAACATATTCTCGGTCACATCAACGTCCAGGAAGACCAGCGATATACGAGGTCTGTTATAAAAGTATTTGGCCTGGGGCCAAAGAAAAGAATAACTGGCATTGAGCCTTTAAAACCTAATCACCCTCAAAGTAGTCTCTTCGGGACTCTCCACACTTCTTCCAGAAGGCCTCTTTTGGAATGGAGTCAAGCTCAGCTGTCTTTGCAATCGTAATGTCTTATCGTGGCTAAAATTGCGCTCCTTTTGACGACCTCTTGCTTTTGGGAAGCAACCATAAGTCTCGGGGGGGTCACGCCAAGAGAGCAAGCAGCCTATTGAACTTAAGGAGTCTGTTTTTTTTTCTTTTGCCAAAAAAGTCTGAATCAAGTGCAAGGATTCATCAGGAGCATTGTCACAATGAATGCATTTGTTTCCTGTTCACCGTAGTATCTTGCGCCGCACAGCATCACGTAGGTAACGGTGGACATCTCTGTAGTACTGTTGCGTGATTGTCTCGCCCTGTGACGCGTACTCGTGGTGTACCCCACCGCGGGAGTCAAAAGAAAGCAGTCAGCATCACTTTAACGTTGCTGTGCACATGGCGGGCCTTCCTTGGTCTTGGTAGTGTAATGCTTTCACTATGACTACCGAGATTTGGTATTCGGGTCGTACCCATACACGCTGGACTCGTCACCTGGGATTACCCAGGCAACAGTCGAAGTCTTATGCTCGTCCTCAAAACGTACTAACGTCTTTGTCCGCTTGGCAGCATCCTGATAATGTTCACTGAACGTCATTTGCAGGATTATTTTTAAAATGTTCTCATGCGTACGGGTTTAGGACAGCAGCCAGCTTGGCTCATCATCAAGGGAAATCACAGGATTTGTGCAATGAACGCCATTTGACTGCAGATTTATTCTAAAAAATATTGCCGAGGCACACGTTTTGCCTTACTTCTGTTAGAAATGCACGTGCCATTTTGGTAGATAGTGAAGGAAGTGGACGACGTTTGGAGAGACGCTCGTGAAGTTATGGCCTGTGTGGCGTATTTGTAGCCTGTGTGGCTTGTGTTTTCTTGAAAGTTAGGTAAATCCTTCCCTTTTTAAAACGTCTCGGGTGCTTCAAGGACGCTGGAAGATAACAATTCAGAAGTGGGATGGAAATCTAGTCGCCAACGGATGTGAGTTTTACCAGTGCACGGAAGTGGTAACCCTAACCCTGGTATGGAACATACCGACGATAGAATCAACCTGACTGGTGGTGGAGACGCTGACTCCAACCACGGAGACACCATTACTACTCGGGAACTGCTGCAAGCCCTTCAAGATAAGAACAGACAGGTATCGACCCTTCTAAACAGACTGATTTCGGCCGGCGCAGCACAGCCTCAACCAGCGCCAACGTTCCAGGTGATCACTCACTTTAGCCGCAACATCAGCCCCTTTTACCGCTCCGCGAAGATGCTCCTTCGGCTTGCGAGTGGTTTGAAAACGTTCGTCGAACGTCGAAACTTCATTCGTTGACAGCTGCCTACACGCTGGAAATCGCCAAGGCCCGACTGGTTGAAGCTGCCAATGACTGGTACCATTCGAGG